CCCGCGCCCCGCGCCCCGCCAGCCGCAGCCTCCTCACCCTCCGCTCCAGCCTTGGCCCCGGACTCGACCCCGGCCCGCCCTCGGGTCCGCGCTCCGAGGCTGTTAGGTGACCCGGTCTCCAGCCGCATCCCCGCCGGCGCCCCTCTCACTTCCTGGGTCACCAAATCTAAAGCGACGTCCCCGCCCTCTCCCTCTTCCCTGGCCATCTCCCTACCCCACCGCTCCATGCTATTTTGGGTAACTGTTATCATTTAAGGCGAGAACCAAGTGGCTGTGTAAGAAATGTAACGCTTTCCACCCTCGTGTTTAAAAGGATACGGGTAGAAACCGCCCTGACCCTACCAGCATGTGTGGGTTCTCGGCTCAGTTTTCCCCTCTTCCTCTTCTCAAAGAGGAATTTGCCTGAGTTTACCTGTCCAGGCCACATTTCTGCCTGTTTGACTTCAACCTTATCTGTTTTTTCCCCAAATGAATTTCGATTTGGGTTTTATTTACTTAAATTTTAAGGTAGTATGTCGAGCTGGGAGAAACAGGCTCGATTTCCTTCCTTTTTTGGTGACTTCTTGGTTGATTCCGTCTTTCTCTTCCACTGTAAGAAACTCCTTCTCTGGACCTTTCTTTCCCTTCTAGAGCTACACACAGTTGCCTGGAAGTTGTGCTTTATTCAGAGAACACTGAAAGCGGCAAACGGGTAGGATAGGGGGTGGGGACTTTACGGCTGTATTCCCTCCTGAACCCTTCAGTTGCCTTCCCCGACCTCCTAACTCTGCCCTTAGGCGAAATCAGCCAACTTCCGATTTCCTTACAGCAAATTCTTCCCCTTCTATTTTGATTGCCCTGCTGCTGTTGTCCGCTCGGGGAAAGCAGGATAAAGGGAGAAGACCTGCCAGTGATTTTTGTACATGCACGCGCGTGCGCTTGCGCGCGCGCGCGCGCACACACACACACACACACACACACACACTCAACTGAAAAACTCATTAAATTCGTTCCTGACAGTTTTATATCTTCCCTGAGACTATTTATAAAGCTTTACTGGAACCGTTTCAAGTTCCAATAAAGTTGAAGTAGCACAAAAATCTGATTTGCCTTTGTCTTTTGTTTCATGTTTTAAGACAGATTAGCTTACTGGGTTAAGTGTCTTCCATAAATTTAATTTTCTATTTACAAAAGGCTTTTTCTTTGTTACTACCTCAGAATTCCCATTGAAGGCTTTCCTCTTTGTTGATTAATTCACTGTGGAGGGGACTGGTTGGCAGCAGGAGGTCAACATTTAGGTCTTTTAATTCTTTCAGGGTTGGTTGTTTACAACTAAGATAAAATAAACCGGCAAAATGCCTTTCTTCCGTAACCAGGGGATCCAAATAAACTTTGGAGAAAATATCTTTTCTTTTCCCTCTTCAATAGAAATGGAAATTTATGTAGGAATTCCACTTTAGGCATAGCTCCTTAGCAACGTGAATCTTTTGCCCCTTTCTCTCTGTCTCCTGAAATAATAGCCCTCTGGTTGCATAAAGACTTCAGATAGGTTAGAGAAACTAGCTTCAACTCCCATTTGCTTTTCAGACCGCTATCCTTTTCTCAAAGACAGGAATTCAGGGAACGGTTGAAAGCCAGCTCAAGTTTGAGCAGTGTGCAGTGTTTGCTAATCTTTCCTTAATTGCTTTCAAACCCATTTATTTCAGCTTTTCCCCCTTCTTGGCAAAGAAATAGGGAGACACAAGATTAATGCGAATATAGTGGTAATAGAACTCTTGCAAAGTAAAAATCAAAGGCAAGCAGTTTCTACCCACCCCTCCCCCAGCCCCTGTGTTCTCCCTTCTTGCATATACTCCTGCCCCATCAGTTACTTCTGTTGGGGTTCCTGAAAATGAGCTTTAGTCTTAGTTTGTTTAAAAAATAGTTTTCAGCCCAGAAAAAGGCAGTGTTTAAAAGCAAATGCTTAGCAAATAGAGGTGGTTTTGTTGGAGGTTCTCTGGAACAAGTTCTTGACTTTGTGTAGCAGCAGTTAGTTTTGCTCTCCTTGGTGGAGAGGTGGGGGAGGGGTGAAGGGAAAGAAATAAAATGTGGAAAATTGTTCTTTGTCTCCACTTACATAATGTGCTTTCTTAAAATGTTATGTGGACTTGAAGCTTCAAGTGTTTAGAAAAGAAGGAGGACGCCTGAATCGAAACCAGTGATGCTTTTCTTGCCTGTTCCAAAAGGCAGGCAGCTTTTTTCACTCTGTTTGCTCTGTGGAGTGGCAGAAGACAGGGAGGGAAATGTCTTCTCTGAAGATTTTAAGGGATCCACTTCAGTGTCTCTTGAAAGGAATTACCTTGGGAGGAAACACCAAGGACAGTTTTACTGAAGGCCCTTCACCAGGATCATCATGACTTAATTAAAAACCTTTGTCTTAATTAGAATTAAAACTGCCATGAAGAGGCAAGCTAGTATTTACACATGGAAAATTTCTAGAATGTTTCTTTTGACAACAGTATGTCGTAGTTAGGCCCAGTTTCTACTGAAACTTTCGCCCGAGCAATTATTTTTAAACTTGTGTTTTAATTTTAGTACCAAATATGCATCGTTTGCTGTTTATAACCCGTTTTATGGTCTTCAGCGAAGGCAGAGCCATGCCTCTTGTGTCCTGATGTATTGAAGGTTGCGTCAGCACTCCTAGCAAGAACCAGTAATCTGGTTGTCAGTCAGCTGAAATGCTTTTCTCTGGTGTCCCAATTCAGTGTATGGGGACAGTGCAGGCAGTCATCTTAACTTGTATTTTAAAAGAACGCGCACACACACACACACACACACACACACAGGAGAAAACAAGTGATTGACTGTCATCTATGGTGGGAAAGGGAGGGGTATGCTTGCTAGGAAGTTTACAATATGCTGTACTCATATGGCTGCTAGCCACAGAATTCCTTTCTAAAGATAATTTTCCTCCGTATTGTTTTGGATGACCTCTTAATAAATCTTAAATCTTACTCAAAGTGTTATTAGTGTTTTAGGCTTCTACAGGCTCATGTTCAGTTTTGATAAGTTTTTACTGAATATAATTAAGATTTCACAGACAGCAATTATAAGAGAATCCTTAGAGTTAATAGGACGGCTCAAGGGGGTACAGAATGCTGACACCGTAAACTCAACATGAAATGGACTGTATAACCTCATGCTGGTGATTTTACATTCCTTTCTTAAAATTTATAAAGATGTAGCTATTTCATATAAAGCAGAGTGATTTTTGACGTCTATGTGATTTATTGACTCAGCAAAAAGCAAGGGCATAGTGATAGCCAAATGAGTACATTTTGCTGACAGTAATTTGGGCACATAACAAGTGCATTTATCCATCTTTCCATCCACAACATACTTAATCACATAGTGCCATTTTAAGGAGTATTGTTAACATCATTCATCCAGTGCCCTAAAAATAGCAACATTTGTAACATGAGTCACTGGAAGTTTTGAAATGACACTGCACAGTATGCAAATAACAGGTGAATGTTATTATTTCCAGTTGGCAAGAGCTTCTTTTAAGTGTGCTTACATGTAGCTTATTTTTTTTTAATTTTAGCATAAAAATCCACTTCAAAAGGAATTTATAAGAAAACTTGTTCTAGGTGGTAATTTAAGATAAACAGATCCATGTGAACACCTACCATTCTGTGAAAATCTGAAATACATGATTCTGAGTTCAGACATGTATCATCTGTACATATTATGAATCTGTACCTTAAAACAGAAACCAAATTTCATTGAGAAACCTCACAGTGTACTTTGTTCCAGGAAGGGTTCCAAGAAGCTTATTGCTTGAAAGTTGATGTTGATACATGTTTACAAACAGCTCAGCAACTGGAAGACTCTACAGTTACACCTTCTGGCATCTTCTAAAGGAACAAGTGTAGGACAAATGCAATTTTGTTTAACTTATATAACAAAGGTGGGCAGAAAAGGAACAATACCAGATAGCACCAAACTGTTTTCCACTACTAAACCAGAGGAAACCAAGTATAATTTACTTCAAGACCTTCATGATGACTTCTTTTACCATCTTCTAGAATTTAAAGTTCCCCAACTTTTCTCTTACAAAGGACATTTTAATTTGTGGGCAAATGTAATTCCTCTTTTGCTCACATTCACAGAAGGAGAGAAGGATTGTAATCTCCAGGGAGCCACTTAGGTCTGTCTTTGGCAGCAAAGGGATTTGATGGGCATGTGAAAAGCCTGGCCTTTAGTGAAACATTTCAGCTAAAACAAAAACAAACAAAAGAATGTCTCAAGCAATAGATTTTACCTGCTGTCAGGAATACATTTCAGGAATTTCCTTTGTTTCTGTTTGATAGTAAGACTGCTAAGAGCGACCGTAGATACAACCAGGGCTACTAAGTGTACTAATGAAAATGGTTCTAGTTGTTTCAAAATATGTCTTTTGAACACATGACCTAAATACCAGAACTAATCTCTGTATGAACTATGCTAAATTATAACAATCCTCTGGCAGGCAGGATAGTATCACGGAGAATACATGAGATTTGGGGTTGTAATTGACCAGAACTAGGCCACTTACCAGTCATGTGACCTCATACAACCTTCTTAATGTTTTCAAACGGCTTGTCATGAAGGTTAAATATGTGAAAAGTTATATTTTTCCATGTTAAACATTATAAGAGCAAATGCAAAGTTATTTCTTTTTCAGTAAGATAACTTTTTTAAAAAATCCCAAAGTAATAAAATTTATGCAATGCATAATGAAATCCTTTGTTAATTTCAATTTTAAATAGTTATATATACTAGTTAGAATTTAATAATGCTCTTGGAATGTTCTGTTTACAAAAGTGTTATCCAGTACTATTATAGACCAAATACATCAGTTATT